CAGTGTGGTTAAGAAACGTTCTTGCAGATATCGGGTTTGATCAAGGAAGCGGAACTGTTCTGTATTGTGATAATAGCTCTACAATTAAATTGTCCAAGAATCCAGTTCTTCATGGGAGGAGTAAACACATCCATGTAAGGTATCATTTTCTTCGTGAATTGGTGGATGAAGGGGTGATAGAACTGAAGTATTGTTCAACTCACGATCAGTTATCAGACTTAATGACTAAACCGGTGAAGCTTGAGGTGTTCGAGAAATTGAGGAAGAAGATGGGTGTTTGTTCAAGAGAAGAGTAAACTGGAAGGAAAGAGTGTTTCCAGTTTAGGGGAGGATTTGAAGAATAAATTGGTTAGTTGTCCGAGTCTTTTGGTAAGATAGAGTCGTAAGTTGAGTTTATTTAGTCAAAATGAATAAATCAGATTGCAGAATAAGTCTTCCTGGTTTGTAGGAAGCACGTTGAGTCATGAGTAGAGATAGGAAGTAGTTGCTCTGTTTTTTTTCTATTTAAACTTCGAGTCTGTACTTTGTTTTTTCAATTAATCACAGAGAATATTCAGCTCTATTACCTGTGTTTAGAACAGAAACAAAGGTTTTAGTTTCCCCAAAAAAACGATCTTTTATTTTTTAAAAATTTCATGAAAGAGATATATTAAAGCTGCTTTTGTGCTTTGCAATTACCTTTCTAAATCTCATTTTGTATAAAAATGAAGATTTGAATAGTTTTCCCAAACTAATCAAAGTCCATACACTCTCCATCACAAAATTTTGTATTAAGTATAAAAGAAAATCAAATCCATAATGATCTATTTTAAAATTTTCTTGAATCCCATATTGAATCAGCATGTATACGTATATTCTTAGTGTTACTTTTAGATTTGGGATAAATAGTTGCTTTTTAAGATTGTTTTGTTCATAGCAAATGGAAAAGAAAATAAAAATGTATTTGGATCAAAGATTTTTGTTTTCTTGATTGTTTTTTTTTTTTTTTTTTTTGAATAACCGCGGGTCTCCCAAAGGCTTCCTAGGCCCAAAGACTAATCCCACGAGATTGGCAATTCCCCTATGTAAACCTGCCAGTGGCCGTGCCTTGAACCTCGGTGGCGGAAGTCACAGCTGTGACCCCTTTACCACTAGGCCACAAGGCCCGGTTTTTCTTGATTGTTGTCGCAGGCTATGATGATGAGGATAGGCCTGAATCTTGAGCTTTAATTGCATCACTAACAGTAATACCTGTCTCTCGTCACCTACATGATTCATCCCTTTTTTCCTAACTTTATTTTTTTATTTCATGATGTTACTTGTCCAATCATTTTACGCATTTTCACAAGTTCTGACATTTTTTCTTTCAGATTTTGAGTGTATATATGCAAATGCAAGTGACAGACAATTCCATCCACTTGGATTCATCTTATCTTTAAAACTTTTCTAGTTGTGTGTTGAAAATACGTATGTAAATGTGTAAAAACTCTTTCATGTGTTCATACTTCGAAAGTTCATATATCAATATCAAATAACCTTTTTAGATATATATATATATATATATATATATATATATATATATATTTTCCCTCCTTTGTGTTTCCTAATTAAAGCGACACGACGATCAAGATTAGATTTTGATGGCCACTGCAAAGCCAATATGTTACTTCCACTTTTTTCTTCGCATCCTAATCCATTTCTCCTTTTTCATTCATATGTTTAAAAAAAAAAAAACTTTTTTAATGTTGTTATTTGAATTAAAGTTTACAATTTACTTTAGATTGAACTAAGAGCATACACAGCACTGTATGCTTCTCCTTGAGTGTTATGAATTTAATAATTTAAATGTATCAAAGAAAGAGAAAGGAAAAGGAGGAAAAAGAAAGAGAGAAAGGAAAAAGAAGAGAGAGAAAGAAAAGAATAATGCTTACATCCGAGTCTTAGTTTATATCTGAGTGTTGCTTCAAAACCAACTTTATCATTATTTCCCTTTTTAATAATGCTTACACCCGGGTAAAAAATATACCACTGCGTGTGGTCTAACGTTACCATTTATTATTTACTGCCGACAATAATAGACTGTAGTACAATACTATGTACCTTTCTTGAATTTATTCATCTTGTCAATGTAATTTATTTTGGTGACTTGTTATAGAATTAAATTTGATATATTATTGGGACACTTAGCTCAGAGGTAAAATCAGAGAGGATAATTTGCTAATAGGTAATTGACTGCTTTGTCACAAAGGCATGGAAATAACGCTTCATTTTTGGGCTCCGGTTTGACGAAAATAACGAAATAACCAGGTAGTAACGTATGCATGCGAGTGGGATAGGAGGGTAGACTTTTTTGGCAAAAAATGAAAGAAGCGACGGCTCTGTTATGGATGGGATTGTTCCGCGGCGACAGAAAGAAGGAGAGGACTGACATTAAATGCAAACCTGCATAATGTCTCAAAAAAATCTTCGGTTAGAATCTTTTACGAAACCAGATGGGCGGGATTTTGAAATTTAAACATCTAACCTAAAGAGTTGGATACCCAATAAATAGGCTTGGGGGCGAGATGCAAAATCTTCAAGACACCAACTACAAAAACCTCATAAAGTCTACAACTTCAGCGACGACCGTAAGAATACTTGTGGAGAGTTAAGTAAGGAGCTTTATTCTTTATAGTTTGTAGATATAAACCTGTTGACTTTCTCTAACATGGTTCGTTTGGGTTCTTAAACAGGTGAAATGATGGAGGTGACTAATGAAAGAATCACGGGCATGGTACGGGTTAAGCTTGGCGGGTGGTCCAAAGATGAACCAGGAGTTTGGAGATTCTCAGGAGCGGAGGGACAGATGGGGAGGTTCATTCGCTTCAGGGAAGGAGACGGTGTTGAAGCAGCAAAAACGAAGGTCATTGAAGAGTTCAGCATCAACAGAACTAGGGAGAAGATCGAGCTAACTTATGAAATGCCGGAATGGATGGACGTCGACGGCTCTGTAAAACCTGTCCGTATTCACATTGTTTCCGACGACGATATGGACATGTTCCTAGCTATGCGGGTAGACATCAACGAAATGAAGCTGTACGTTGTCCCTATGCCGGTGAACATGACACTGGAAATAGATGGGTTCAAAGTGGTGCCTCTGATGGACGAGTTCGCGCTGTGTGAAGTGATGAGTAAGGAGGAGCTGGAGAGAGAAAGAAAGCACCGTCTTGACAGAGAAGCCGGCGACAACATCATCTGCTCGTAAGTTCCCAGGGAAGACGTGGGGGACAGCAATGATGGACCCCTTGGATGGATAGGGAATTCGTACGCAAGCAGCGGGTTCGCTACACTTTCAGCGGCTTTGAGGCATTACAAGACCTTGACAGAGGCTCCACACCGTGGGTCACCCATCTGTGTACTAGAACCTGAGGGAAGCTCGTCTTCCGATAATAACAGGGTCACACGACTAACCAGAGACCTGTTCTTAGATTTTGAAAGAGGTCAAAGAATGTGGAGGTTATCATTTATATATACCTATACAACAAGAAATATAACGGTCTAACTCTTCTTTTAACATCTACAGCCGACAGATCTAGTGGAGATATCGGCGAGAACTCGGTACAAGGGAACGACCAGACGACTCAAGCAGAGGCATCAGAACAAATCAATAGTAAAAAATCTAGTTTACCTAATTTCCAAAAGATAACTGTATCCTACAAAGTAAACCTATTGATACTCATTTACAACATAACATACATGTCTAACTTGTTTTGCAACATCCGTAGCTTACGGACCTGGCGGAGATGTAGGCGCCGACTCTGGACAACAGGACGTCCAAGCGACTCAAGAATATGCAGCAGAACGCATCAATGGTGAAAAAACTTATATAAAAATACCTTTTATTTGTTAGCAAAATGGATGACCAATAAACTAAAGAAACGGTATATGTTCTTAAATAACATCGCAGAGGACAACTGTACAGCTGCCCCGATTCACAGAATGTTAAGGATGCTAAGCCTTCCTGAACACACATTCGCAAGGGACGCAGCGCCAGTGTTTGATGACAACGAGCCAGACGGTAAACTATTATTTAAAATTTTCAATTATTTGCATGTTATAAATAGATGTCTATTATAAAAAATAAACCGTTATTAAATGATTTAAAATGGTAACTGTTTTAATAGGTTCAGAGAGGACAAGACTTGTCGTGCTGGATGTCGACTACGAAGGAGACGAGCTGTTTGTGGGACGTGTATTCAAGAATCGAGACGATTGCAAAGTTAAAATAGCAGTCCACGCTATCAACAGGAAGTTCAGTTATCGAAATCACCGCACCACCAACGATGTTGTGATTGTTCGTTGTGTGTTAGATACTTGCCCGTGGAGAGTGTACTGCTTACGGTTGGACGAGACTTCGAACTTCGAACAGCCCATCTGGAGCATACATGTCCAATAGGAGTAAGAAGCCAGTTTCCACCCCAAGCTCTACGTCGGTGATATCCCAAATCATAAAGTTAAAGTACAGCGGTACTGGAGTAGGGCCCACACCGATAGGAATAAGGCGAGCTCTGATGGAGGAATATAATGTCAACGTACTCGAAGGCGTGGCGATCAAGGGAGCTTGCTATGGACTTAGCCAAAGGATCCCCAAATGGGAGTTATGGGATTCTACCTAGCTACCTTCACATGTTGACAAGGGCAAACGTTGGTACCGTCACGGATTTGCACACCGAGGTGGATATTGATAGGTTCAAGTACTGTTTCGTAGCTCTTGGGGCAAGTGTCAGAGGGTGGAAGTTCATGAGGAATGTTGTGATAATAGACGGGGCGCATTTGAGAGGAAAGTATGCGGGGTGTCTCCTAACAGCAAGCGCACAAGACGGGAATTTTCAGATATTCCCGATTGGATTTGGGATAGTCGATGGGGAGAATGACAAATCATGGGAGTGGTTCTTCACATGCCTAAAGAAGATAATCCCAGATGGCGAGAATCTAACTTTCGTGTCGGACCGTCACTCTTCGATATACACAGGTCTCGGAAAGGTATGGATGTCTATATTATATCTTGCCTATATAACATTTGGAGTGTATTGCTAATATATAGGGATGTATATTATCTAATAGTTGGGCAATAATTAAAATATCATGATTATTTGTAGGTGTATCCAAGGGCGAACCATGGGGCTTGCATCGTTCATCTACAAAGGAATATGGCTACCAAGTTTAAGAAAAGAATGCTCGCTGGCCTTATCTCGAAGGCAGCTAGAGCATACAAGAAGTCAACATTCAACGAGCTCTTCGAAGAAATAGAGCGAACCTCACCTGGATGCGCCGAGTACTTAATGTCTATTGGTTTAGAACATTGGACTAGGTCACACAGCTATGGGGAAAGGTTCAACATCATGACTTCAAACGTAGCCGAGTCACTCAATGCAGTCCTGAAGGAGGCACGAGAGCTGCCAATAGTGTCGACGCTTGAGTACATCAGAGGTACTCTGATGACTTGGTTTGAGAAGCGTAGGGAAAAGGCAACCCAACACGACAAGGCTCTTACACCAAAGGTGGAAGAAATAGTCCAGAGAAACTATGAACGGTCCACATCTTACGAAGTGACCAAGATCAACAATGAGCAATACGAAGTAAAGACCACCACAGGTCTAACATATGTTGTGGATCTCCAAAAAAGGACATGCACCTGCGAGGAGTTCACTTTGCTGCAGATACCTTGCAGCCACGCAATTGCAGCCGCGATCCGTTGTGACATGAGTGTACCTATGTTGGCTGCCCCTCAGTACGGAAGCTTTTTCTGGAGTCTCGCTTACAATGGCAGCATCCATCCCGTCCCCGACTTAAGCACTTTGCGTGAGGTACCAGACGGAATTGCAACATTGACGGTTCTACCTCCTCTCACAAGAAGGCCACCAGGTAGGCCAAAGCGTACTAGATACCTTTCAACTGGGGAATTTAAGGTATTATGTAATATAACATATAATATATAGATGTCTAACACAAATAGTGGTTCTTTACATTCTTTTTTGTCGTATACATCAAACAATACAGAGGCCGCGGAAGATAACGAAGCGGAGCTGTACCAGATGCCGAGGGAGTGGGCATAACCGCGCTTCCTGCAAGATGCCAATATAACTAAGGGTTTTAAACTTTGGTAAGATATACGAGACTTTAAAAACATAGATTGCTAGTAATACGTGTAGATATCTATGTTATCAATCCCTCTAATAATATGCTTTCATCAGCTGCACCTTTTGGATGTATAAAAGCAGCTCTTCAGATCTACGTGTTTCCTGTTCACGGCTTAAAGAAGTGGCAACATTTTCAATGTATTATAAGCATGCCACAGGCACCATTATGTAATATTTATCTCTGTTTTCGGGAACCTTCCCCACGTATGTAATATAATCCTGAACTCTTCTAGAAATGGTGTATTGCGTTGATCTTGTGAGTCCGCACACCATTCAATCTGGCTTTGTAATATATTAATGCTTTCGGCTTAAAGTTGTTTCCTAACGCTTCTTTATACATAAGCTCACGAAACTAGATAACTTAGTAATCAAAAAAATATAACAACAAGACAATAAATACACTGCCACGTACTAACTCTTACGTCTACAAAACAACCTCCCGCGTGTCAATTTTTAAAAATACTAAGCATAGGATACCCAAAAAAAAAAAAAGGTTTTAAAAACATCATTTCTTTCCTAGTTAAGTTTTGGATATCTAACTATTGCTGACTTTTTGATATATAGAAGGCTATTTGATTCATTCATAGCTTAATGGGCCAAAATATTTACCGAAATTTAAAGTTAATTAAATGATTACAGAAACTAAATATATTAAACATAGTCAATTTAGGCGGTTACATCACAGGAATAGACGGTTATACCATCAAAAGACAAGTTCGGAGTACGATTTACTTAAATTATTACACATCTAATTATACATTTAGTTAGTTACTTAAACGCATGGACGACCGTCGCTAAAACACAAATAAATCCTATCCATGAAATTATGAGGACTTCTCGGAGAGTTTGTTCCTTCTCATTGCTTGCCTTCAAATCGCTCTTTAAAACGATACTTTCCTTCTCCAAATGCTCAATTTTTGTTTGGAATTCTAGAAGACCTACCTCAACGGGATAGATTCGGTTTCCTTCGGCTTGAGTCTCCCTAAGCCTCTTAAGCTCTGCATCTTGTGCTTTGATTATATCCCTTGCTTCCAACAGAGCCTTATACTGCCATCCATGTGGTTTCTCAATGTCTTTCCACCGGAAGTAGTTACATTCGCTTCTCCAACCAGCACCACACCTATAGAAGCGTCGGCCTGGATTTGCGTCCGTCCACGCTTGCCGGACCAGCGCCTGCTTCCCGCAGTCGCATTCAAAGAAGCCAACTGTGAACTCATTTCCGATATCTTGTACCGTGAAGCTTGATCCTCCTTCAGATTCTGCAGCCAACGGTTGTCTTGGCGTATTATTCATTTGTTGGAAATTTTTATTTTTTTCCTCCTTCGGCTGCCGCACCAACCAAATTACAACCTTTAATGGGTTGGAAAGGGTAAGCTTTGAGACGGTGGACCCCGCATTGAAAACGCGTCTTCGTGTTGTACGAGTCATAGGCTTTTAGGTGCCCCCTACTACGCAGGCATAGACCACTGTATCCCTTTTTCGGCGTAGTTAACTGTAGCCCTTTCAATATAGTTATCTAATGGAAGAGTTATTTTTATTGTTTTACAAAATCGAAAACTTAGGAAACGGAAACATAATAAATAAAGAAATAGATTGCCTAAATGTTTGTTGGAGTCTATTCCGTATTTTACATACTAATATATAATAATGAATATCTATTAAACTAACTTACATAAAACTTATACAATACGTTTGCAAATGTTTACTTAGAGAAATATATATCCATAAGCATAACATTAAACATCGTTGAATATCTAATAACAAACATATACGTCCAATAAAAAGGTTACACTAAAGGGTCGAGATTAAGTAAAAGTCCAACACATTCCTTAGCCAGCATTAACATAAAGTATTACCCCAAATCCTAAAGATACGAAAAACAAGTCCAGATTTGAAACAACAAACCCAAAAGGTAATAGAGATGACAGAAATTGTTCAAAGTTATACAGGGATAGGAGGGAAGAAAGACAGAGCCTTTTCATACTTCGATATCGCCACAACAATGCTCATATAACTGAACAGCTAGCTGCTCTGCTCGCTGACGAAGACCAGCCTCTGAGACTTGACAAACCTTATCGAAACCACCAAATGCATGCGCCTCCATGAAAAGAAGGGAAAGCATACCGGTGTTTGCGCGGTCTGAAGCTTGTGTAATGCGGGTGTGGCGAGTGAAAGACAACGGAGACAATGGGTAATTTATCATCAGATCGTTCGCACCAATCTTACGAACCAAATATGGAAATATCTCACATAAGAACTCCAGTTCAGGTTTAAGTCTGGATCCACGAAGGGCATTAGTAGTAGAATCGAAAACAAAGAGTGAATGCGAGGGCAGGTCCACCATGACAGCAATCCAGCGGTTCTTGTCAATGTTGAAAGGAGAGTAGAGGTAATCTATGGCTTCAAGCCATTTCCTTCCAGTGCTGCTAAATCTGTGAGTTATTGAGCTCAACAGATCTTCATCAAATTCAAAACTCTCTTTGCGCCTACACTTCTTGAATTTAGAGAACATAACAGCAAGAGAACCATGGAAATGGCTTGTCAGCATATCAGCTCTAGGGACGGCTGCTGGATTAGTGTTAATGAAGACAGATTCTCTCATTACAGAGACACAAGCATCCATAACCTAAAAGACACCAATTAGTAACGGAAAGTACCACATGTCTCTAGCATAAAAAAACATGGAACAAAGATAAACCTGGGGATTATCAGGGGGTATGCTACTAGCAACCAGACGCAATTCACTCTCCTTCAAAACAATTCCTCCACCATACTCAAAGTCACTGGAAATAATAATATACACAACATAACGATGCAACACAATATATACCATTTAGACCAATTGTAACTAATAAAATAGCATGCATGCTGAATATATATATCTACATGGTAGTATGCATAGCTAAATGGCTAATTATATATCTCTACATATGTTAATACATATCTACATAACTAATTAGCTTGAATAGGAAAATAGAGTCTACGCTTACAATCTTGGCTCAAGTAGGTCGACTAGTTTCATGAACTTCTCAGAGGTAGGAGAACCATTCAAATCAAATGTAACTAATAAAATAGCATACGGGCTGAATATATATATCTCTACATGGTAGCATGCATAGCTAAATGCCTAATTATATATCTCTACATATGTTAATGCATATCTAAATAATTAAGTAGCTTTAATAGAAAAAAAGAGTATAAACTTACAATCTTGGCTCAAGTAGCTCAACTAGCTTCTTGAACTTCTCCGAGCTAGGAGTACCATCAGATTCCAATGCAGCCTCAGGAACACTGCCGCCTTCCCCATCAATAGTACCTCCCGATGCCTGAGACTTAGTGGAATCCTCACTCCCAGAGGAAGAATCTTCAGCCTAGAAAATAGAAAAGGTCACTAAAATGAATTAAAAACTGTAACTAGTGACACAGAACAAGCGAATTACCTCTTCAGATTCACCATTCAAGTTGGAGGATGCAGTTGGATAGACAGGAGATGATGCACCATCAGCAGGATTGACGAGGATAGATGCAACTTTAGCAGGATTGACAGGGTTAGATGCACCATTAGCGGGTGGCTGGCTGTAAGGATCAGAAGTACCAACCCCAACCTCAGTAACAACACTCTTTACAATTTCCCTAGACCTGAGAGCCTCAGCAACCGCAGAGAAAATACTTAGTTTCATACTCCTCTCCAACCTCAACTCCATTTCTTTCAAGTCTACACAAACATGAGCATATACATCACCACGAGCATCCTTCAGACCAGCCTCAATTTCATTTCTAAGAGCCCCAAGAAGAGAAGTATTAGGGTCAGACAGGACATGCTTACCCTTACCACTACGAACCTTCAATTTCTTTCCCTGGAGGATCCACCTCTGACCAGATGTTCACCACTATGCCTGGACCAAACTTTGCGTTTACCTTTGTTAACTACCCGAGGAGGAGCCTCCACATGCAAAACAGCGCCTCTAAGTCCCCCTACAAACATCCCCCGGTTGAATTCGTATCCCTCTTCAATTTTAGAAAGAATAACTTCAGCACCTAGTTCACGGACCTCATCAGCCCAACTACAATCTTCTAAACCAACAACATCGTGGGGCGCAGGTATTATAGAGAAGACATCAACCTACAACAAAAATTATTAGGTTATTATTTTCCAATTATAACTCCATTGAAAAGGTAGACAGTTAAAGATAAATATAGATGTCAATTGTACCTTGGAATCTTTGTCGAGGTCCCAAACCTTATCCAGTTTCAGTGAAATAACTGGGAAAACATCTTCATCCCCAGACTCGGGGTCAGTTATTTCACCAACAGCAGACAAAACAGCTGGGACCGCCTCCACCAAAACCAGACCAAGTGCATGGATGAAACCTTGAATAGCCATAGTTGCTTGAGCTAATTGATTGAGAGATCTTGACTTAATGCATTGCATTGTCATATCGAAACTGTAGCGCCCCCAAGGGTATTTCAAAAAGACATCAAGATCACGAATCATCTCCACATGCTCCTTAGGAATCTTCATGTGGAATGATCGACGACAAAGAAAACCATCAACAAGTAACAAATAGGCATACTTGACTCTCACTTCACTAGACAGTGCCTTTGGCCTTCGAAGCTTGCCCAACAACATCTCTCCGGTGAAACATTTTTCACCACCAAACAGAGTGAACCAGTAGGGAGTGACGCCGGGAGGACACTTGGTTAAAGCTCTATCCAGGGCTGGAAGAGGCTGACAATTTAGGCCGGTGACCAAACCAAACTCACTGAGAGAAAATCGGACCGGTTTGCCAGCAAAAACAACCCATATCTCGTGTCGCTTTACAACATTGAGCTGGCGGGTTAACAGAAAGTGAGCCAATTTGCCAGAGAACACCGGTTTGGAGTAGACATCAAGAAGTTTCCCGAAGCACGGCCTAATGGTATCAAGCTCTTCAGGCGTAAGGGCTTTGAGCACAGCCTTGATCGTGTTGAGCTTAAAGTACATATTAACTCTATCACCAGCAGGTTCCTCTCTATCGGCGAACAATCGGGAAGGAAGCTCCAACTCAGCCATATTACTGTACAAAGGGAAAAACAAAATTAGATACATTGACAAACATCAACATGCATCTACACGGATATAAGTAAAAGTATGAGGAGAAGTTACAGATATATACGATAAATACAGATCTAATTAGATCTATACCAACCTAATTAGATCTGTATATATCCAAAAAAACCAATAGTTGTTTATAAAATACGCGTATAGATCTACACGGAAACATGCTAGTCTATTTAGATCTGTAGATGTCTACGAGAAGAAACAGAAAGTTGTTAGGAAATATTAGAGTAAATGTAGATCTATGTGAAAATATGAATATCTAAACTGAAGGACAAGAGAAAAGTGAAGTACCAATTAGATCTATGGCTATAAACACCGAATTTATAGAGTAAAACAGGGAAAAAACACCAGATAAAGGTTAAAAAGTACACAATCGGGTATGCAGTATAAGGAAAACAACCAGAAAAGAAAACATTTGTAATCTCCAAAAAAGAAAACACCAAAATCGGGGAAAAAAGCTCGACTATCCGACACTTAAAACATAAAAACATAACTCTTCGGATGAATCCACCGCGTTAACGCTATAAACGGGGGCACAGACACTCCGGCAAGTCGCGACGGCGAAGCGGTTGCAGTTCCGTGTGACAAAAAAGGAAAGCGACGGAAGATGGTAAGAAAACTGGGAGAAATGATCGCAATTAGGGTTTTAATGGAGGAAGAAAAATAGAGAGAAGAACAAAGAAACTCAACAGTCTAGTGCAGAAGAATATGAATTCATTTAAGAGAACCCCACATATACACGCATGAACACCTCGGGAGAAACAAAAGAACTCTTCCGTTTCCTTAGACGCGCGTGAGGCTAAAACGGGAAAAAAGATGGGCTAATGTCACATTAGTTTTGAGCCCCGACAAGAATTACCAAAAAACTAATTTGGGCCCAGATCCTTACCTCTGGCCTAATTATCTCTATATTATTCCGTTTATTGTAAAACTCTGGCACACATATTGATAGAGTTTGATAACTTTAATTCGTGTGTCCACCTCTTATAATCACAAGAATCATGCAATAATGCAAACTAAATTATAAGTTCGAAATATCAATATCGATATCTATTTATTAAAAATTCAATAATCAAGAAAAGTGAAAGGTGTGGAAAAACAAGTAAAAAGGAAGTCTTGTGCTAGAAGAAAAGGAGCGGCATCATCATCATCATCCCATGTGTATGATAGCGATTGATGTCATGTGGTGGTGGGTCAATTTCACCATATGTTATATGCTCTAAATCATATCATCAAACTATATATTGCACATTACATAACATAAACTCACACAATAATCACTCAACTCTCACTCTTAAGCTTTGTTTTTAGTTGTTCTTACTTCTTAATTAGCGATAGTGTTTGAACTGAGACAATCAATAAGTAGTTTGTTGGTTTAGAATATCGATTTTCCTCGATATATTTATTTCGAAATAATGTAGAATCTTGATGAAATTGATATGCAGTGAAAATCTAAATAACAAAATCGTCTTAAACAACTTCTTAAACCAAAAATCGATTTGAAACAGGAGATGATTAACCCGTTTGTATTTCAAGTCTCAACTTCTGCATGATCTAATTTGCCAATAATGATTAACTTTGCCAACAATGGTTATCTCAACCTCTGCATCTATACAGGATAAACCGGTCTGAAGTCTAGATTTCAGTTGATCACATTTGTATTTTATGTCTGCATGACTAATCAGAAGTATCATGACCAGAAAATATTCAATGTCAGAGATCCAAATTTAGAAAAGCAATGTAAAGGAACTGCATATTATTGCTGAATTCGTTAACTATTGTGTGTTCTCTATTTTTTTTGTGCAACCCGATTACATTAACTCGAGTAAAGTTTATAGCATACAAGCGGAGAGATTGTTTAGCTAGGGCATCAGCCACACCAGTGGTTTTCCTTCGAATAAAGCCACAGACAAATATTGTGTGTACTCTTGTTCTTGTGTTACATCATTAACTAGACAACTACTAATTCTAAATCCGAAATTCCATTGACGACATACCGTATATCATTATCATCTAAGTTGTCCAAAGAAGCCTTGTGAGTCTCATTGGGTCTACAGAAAATTTTGGGCCTATTTGGGGTCAATGGTAATTCTGGACTTAAGCCCAAAAGTTTCGCTCAAATCGCTAAGATCCAAATCTTATTTATGTACGATGTGGGGAATGTGAATAAACAAATAACCTCACTTGGTAAAAAAATCCAACAGTAAAATTTTTTTCTCTTTTTTGTGCACCAATCCAGGTCCAGCATTGAATATTTTATCGCGTACGCACTATAACAATATCTAGATTTAGCCATCAGTAGTATAACGTCACTCTCATCAACTTCGTTTTCAATTCCCCAAATCACGACGATCGTCTAGCCATCAAATTTAATAAATTTAATTTATATAGCATCCCGCCGCCGGATAAACCGGTCATTTACCCTTACCAACATACAGGTTTTCTCAATTTCCAATTTCGGTTTAAATAAATTCATTTGAATATTTATATATATATCACCCATTTACAAGTCACCACGATTAGTAACCACTAATAAATTCTTTCTTTTTCTCTCTCTTTTTTTTTTTTATAATAGATACTGTACTACTCACATTCTTCATCTTAAAAACAGGCCCAAAATTGGGTTAATATTTTTTTGAAATTTGTTTGATTATAAATTTATAATGATATTAGAAATTGCATGGAAATAAAAAATTAAAATTTCAATAAAGACTATAAAAACTACATATATGGTATATATATAGTATGTATACTCATAAATAATATAAATATATAAAAATATTTGGTTTGTAATTTGTTTGCCAAGTGTCACGAAAACTACCACATGGCGCAAAGGGCAAAACCACAAAATTCAGAAAAGTTGGTATGCTTCCACGTAATAGACATTTTACACGTGATTTGCTTGTGACTACCCTAGTTTAGTAGACGTACCGTTCAATAACGTGATATTTATTGGAGATAACTAATTTCTTTTTTTTTGTCAAATTTCAAACTTATTGGGACAGAGATAACTAATTTCTTAATTAAGATTCAAGTTACTCACAAACTCACAAGCCACACCCATTGTTTTCCCAATATTGCGTCCACAACATTGGATTAGTTTGATCTTTATTGCAATGACTATTTCAGTTGCGTACAGTACACGATAATAACTTCTAATAAATCTGCAAAAGAAGAGTTATTTAACTTGTTACAAAACTATCAAATATGCGAGCAATAACGGTCAAATAGAACGTAACTTCGTTTTTTTGGTGATAGTTTTAAATAGCCTAAACGTTAAGTTACCTCAAATTGGCAAAACCTAATTTTGCTGAAATGGAAAGAAAAATAATAATTTCTTATTTCAATATTTGACTTCATTTTATTTTCAGAAAAAATTACCTACGATTGATTTTTTCAACCACTTATAATGCTTTTTTTGTTTTCTCTTAAAATATTTGTATAAGATTTTCTATTTATATCACATGAACAAAAAAAACTCAAAACAAATAGAATTATATCAACTTTCATAAATAGTTCTTTTACATATATATATACTAGACTTACTAGTAACCATCAATTAAAAACTAAACCATATTATCTAGGACTAACATTTTATTTTCCCTCCCTACAACGACATTGTATTATGATAGCCAATCAATATACGCGACACAGTACAAGAAAATTTGATGATAATAAGTTACGCAGCCTAATTATATACAACTTTTCAAATACGTCATGAACATATAACGTATTTCAAAAAAATAAAAAAAACGTATTTCGTAATGTGTACTGAAAAAAAAAAAAACAAATCAAATGCCCCATAAAACTATGATTAAAATGGTGGATTAATGTTCTTATACTAGAGATCAGATCACAATCTTCTGTTCACATTCTTAAAAAAACGTTCTGCTATATTATTTAGACAACATTGTACATGTAGAAGGTTGTTTAACTGTGAAGTGTAATTGACTAATTATCTATAATCTTTCTAATCGAATACGTAATAATAATAGAGTCGATGAAAGAATTAATAGATTGAGTTTAAGAAAAAACAAACCACGTGAGCCGGGAGGATCATGAGCTGTGGACGAGGAAAATCGTCAAACTTGGAAGATAATCTTTGTTTGATTAGGTGTTTGTTGTACTCTTTTAATATTCAGAATTCAGAACCTTCTCTTTCTCAAATCTGTCTTTATCTTTTTTTAATTCAAAATTTAATCACCACCTTTCTATATTTTATTAGGGAAAATTCCCTAAAAAAACCTCAACTATTTAATATTTGCCAGAAACCTTCCTAAACTTTTTTCGTTGCCGGAATAAAACCCAGCTTATTCTTGAGTTGTATTAAAAACTCTGACGTATTTGTTTTCTCCGTTTTCCTTCCCGACGTTGAAACGCCGTTAATGGCCGTTGACGAAATCGTAAACAATGTTAATTATACTAACACGTGACTAATCAATGTGGGTTAAAACTCACTTTTACCCCTTTCACAACTTGTTATCCCTCGAGCTTTTTCCCAAATCGAAATAGGGTTAGGGTTTCTGAGAATTCCCAAATCGATTTGGGGGGTTTTCAATCGAAGGCACTGCAGGCAAAATTGGGCAAGGAAAGTTCGGATTTTCCAGAAGCTACCATCTTCGATCCAGAAAACGCGAATCAGAGAGAGGAGGTTAGGGTTTTGAAATCGAAGAAAAGAGAAGAGATAAACTGGGGAAGAGAGACGACGACGATTACGGCTAACGCAGCTTGGCCTCCGAGTGTTTCAGGCCTCCGAGCGTTTGTCTGAATCGACGACGACAATGAGGTATATGTTTCGATACTCGATTTTTAGGGTTTCTGTTTTGTGAAATCGAAATGGGGAATCGATTTGGGTTCCAAAATCGACACTTTGTTGTGTTCCCGTTTCGAATTTGACTAATATAATGTTGTTCTCTGATTGCAGTGACATTATGAAAGTCAATATGCATTATGCTGGATATGGTTCTGTGAAAGAAGATGTCTTTGATTACAGAGGTGGTTTAGTGAAGGAAGACATGGTCATGGACCCTGATTATGTGACTTGGTCCATCTTTGACGAATTTTGTGAACAAAATGGGATTTTTGGGTTGGTGGATAAGGTATGGTATT